AATAGCTCCAACTGATCTCAATTTCAAAGGCACTTAGGGAAAGGACCATTTACCTGGCAATAAAACTACCATTTTTTTTTTCACATTTCTGTTGTTAGATCTTAAATCTGAATGTGAGGCAGTGATTCTAATACTGTACTACTCCACGACTGCAGATGACGCCTGAATTTTGAGGACTCTGTGCAGCATGATTCCTGTGCCTTTCCAAAATCAGTGTCCTTTACTTTTGGTGTGACACCTTTCCCTTTAATCCACTGCTGCACTTCTGTAGTTACCAGTTTGTTTAACTAGAGGCGTTTTGTTCTATGATGCAATCTGGTCATTTTTTAGCCTGGTTGCAAATCAGTACCTTGGACAGTAGCTCAGGTTGGCAAATTTTCTCAGGCATTCCAAATCATCTTGATTTTTTTGGAAGCAGACACACAATATTCTCTCCCATATTAAGTACAATAGCTGAACTAATGACATGCTCAAAAACACATCAGCTTGGCAGCAGCTGTGGAATGCCAATTACTGTGAGAGCTATTTGAAGGGCAGAGTTGAGATTTTTATTTCTTTGAATTAGTACTCATCTTTATTGTCATGTTCTCTGGTCAAGGGGGGGAATGAAACCAATGTTATAACTCACATGCTCATGTATTATCTCATCATGATTCTTCCTCCAGTAAGGAATGATCAGTTAAGATGTGAAGTTAAAAAAAATACAGTGATATTAATGTTTACCTCTTACTATGAGGTCGGCAGCGGATGAAACACTATCCACCCCTGTTTGCACCATACAAACATATTTTCCACTGTGTTTCAGCTGAATGTTTCTGATCATTAAGTCACCAGATGAACTCTGTTGGAAAAATAGGTAATGAACCTACTGTTATTTTAAAAACACAAAGAATCTTGAAGGTTATGGCCAACATCAATACTGGGATGAAATCCATATTTACAGAGAAAACCAAGGTGGTACAAGACAAAAGATTACAACAATAAAATATATGGAAATAAAAACAAGTTAAAAACCATACATGACTACAGACAAATATTTCTGTAGACAAATAAATGGCAAGCTTTCCCCTGGGCATTTATGGTTTCAAAAATAAATAAGGGCAGAGATTACAGTCTCAGAGTCTGTTTACTTCCACCAGGGTGACACTTTTTATATCCTCTCCTCAGCACCAGCTCAACTCTTTTCTCTGGTTCCAACCCCTTTGCAATTATCTGCCTGAGAAGAAGAAGGAAGCATTTAGGTATCTTGTGAGGGATAAATGCAGCATGACACGGGGATTACCATGGCCAAAGCACTTTTCTGAACACATTGGAGCTTGAAAAGCTTAAAGCCATTTAATTCCTTGGCTACAGAATTTAGGGACAGTCAGTATGAACCCCTCAATAAGAAGAAATTAAAACATTTTAAGCCTTAAAAATAACAGCTGTACATAAAGACATTTGCTGGCATTCCCCAGCACCAATTAACAGAGCAAATGTATTTCTAAAAGCTCAACTTTAAATGGTCTTCATTTAAAAAGAATATAAAATCATGTTCATAAAATGACTAACTGCAGGCCAGTGTCACACCTTAGTAAAAATATGAATTGAAAGAAAATGATTTGGAAAGCAAAGCCCTTTGAAAATGATCACCAGTTCATGTCTGAACTGGTACAGAGGAAGAGGCAATGTTTATCTTATTAATTAAAAGGATAGTTTTACTCTTGGGTTTTCCTAGTATTTGTCAAAAGATGAATGCTACTATCCTGTTTTTAGTTAATTTTCTAAAATCTTCTACATGGTAATTTCTTAAGTATTGCTTCCCATCCTTACGATTCTTAATGGGCTGTATATTCTCTGTTGGTTGGACTGCATGGCTCTAGACGGAATTTCTTGTGTATTGGGAGAAGAGGATACGAGGTGATTGGTGATTGATGGCTGTAATTAAATGATAATCCAGAAACTGTTAGGTTTGCACATTTTACTTTCACCAAGTTGAACTTTTTTCCTTCCCTCCCTCCCTCTCTTTCTCCACAGGGTTACTTAGAAATTTATCCCCAGGACAAAACCTTCAATGCTTGCTGACCTTTAGAAACTCTTAAGGTTTTATGAGCTCCATATACTCACAGGAGGGTGATTATCATTTCTATAGAAATCTCTTATTTTCAGTGAAGAACTGTTACTATTAAATGCCATCAAGGCATTGGGGTGAGGTTGTTATTTTTTTCTACCTTTTTCCCTTTATTTGCTTATTTCGAAAGCAGTTGGGGAAAAGAACTGTAACAGGACTGTATGTCTTTACACATCTGGCTATAACTTTTAGGCACACCGGTTTTGTTTCTTGAAAGATTAAGGAAGAGTTTGGTATAAATCTTGTGACTTCTGTTGACTTTTGGTACTGATGGTTGAAGAGAAAGAAATACTTTAGCTAGGAAAAAAAACCCACATTCCTAAAGAAATGTACTTAGGCTTACCATCAGGGGAAACATAATTTTTAATTATCCTTTTACACTGCAGAGTACAAAAAGGAAACAATTAACTAAGACATGCAAACAATGAGAATCATTGAGTTTTTTTTCAGCACCAACATGGAGATGAGTGGATGAATACATAAATGGAAAACAAAATTAACAAAAATTAAGAGAGATCCTCTCCTTAATTTTTTCTCTCTCAATAAAATATTTGTATTGTTTCTCATCTAGTGCTTTCTCTCTCCCACTCCATCTATTGTCTTTCAATGCAGCACTAGATAGAAGCAAGAATCACCTAAACAAAAATGCATTCAGTACTTGTTTTGTTAGATTCTATCAAAGATAGAGAAGTGTCTAACACATAGTGCCTGCTCTCCCAGCTGTAAACTCAAGTCATGGTAACAAGGTACACACATGTGAAACGAATTATGTTTATGAATTTAGAAAGTTTAACAAAGGTTAAATAAAATCACATGGGGTACACCATGTGTAGGCAATTACCAAATGAAAAAGACGGTTTTCAAGTCCTGCTGAGGACGTGGAACTGTAACTCTTATTATTACGGATGGAAGTGTAAATTAGTATAACTACTTTGGAAAGCTGTTTGGAAGTATCTAACAAGGCAGGACATATGCTTAATTTCTGACCCATCAATTCCTTTCCTAAGTATATACCCTATAGAAATGTGTGCATGTCTACCAAAAAACATTTGGTAGAGAATGTTTACAGCATTACTATCCAAAATAGCTAAAAAATAAAAACATCCCAATGTCCATCACAGTAAAACAGATAAGTAGTGTAATAATTATGTAATGAAATATTATTAGATTATGAAAATAAGTGAACTATAACTACATAGAAAAACATAGTAGAGACTCAATAACATAAGAGATATAAAAGAGTACATGATACTAATCTATCATGACTAGATTGAGGGTACCTTTGGAGGGATGGTTAGTACCAGAATGAGGTACCATGGGGGCATCTGGGATGTGGGTAATGTTGTGTGTCTTGATTTCAGTGCTGGTTACTTGAGTGTGCTCATTTTGGGACAATACATTGGGCTATACACTTATGATTTGTGCATTTCTTGGTAGAATATAAGACTATCAAAATGGAGTTATGATTATATGCAACTATTTTTCTAAAATGCTCATCTTTTAACAGGACCATGGGCAGAAGCAGTCAAATAACATGACTATAATTCTAACTCCTATTTCTTTCACAGGAATTAAATACAATAATAATTTACTAAAAGTATTATTAGTATATCCTATAATTACTTATCGAGATGAAATTGAGTATTCCCAGACATTTAAAAAAGATTTAAAAAAAAGAAATTCCAAAAGGAAGTTTCATTTTTGTCAACCAATTCTCTTCTCCATCAATTTATCACTGTCAGATAATATAATTATTGATTAACTGTGATTAAGGGGATGAGAGAGGAAAATCCAGCAAACCCAAGTAAAATTAGTCAAAATGAGATAAAATAATAATACATAGAATATTTCTCAACATATTTGTCAATAAAATTACATCTGATATTTAGACATATTTAGAAATATGTCATTCTTTAGCATATAAATCCAAGTAAAATTAGTCAAAATGAGATAAAATAATAATACATAGAATATTTCTCAACATATTTATCAATAAAATTACATCTGATATTTAGACATATTTAGAAATATGTCATTCTTTAGCATATAAAAATAGTTCAAATAAAATAACGTGGAATGCTAATAATGCGTGAATAAATTCTTAGGAACACTAATAATACTTTGAATAAAAAATAACTTATACTTTACTATCTGCAAACTTAGTTTGCTAGTCTTTGTTTGCATTATTTTCCTAAACTTTTCTTTTTTCTCTCTTTCTTCAAACAGAATGGACCAGAATGAGGAAGATGCAGAAGTAAAAGTTTCATTTTCTTCTACTCCCATCCCTGATTCCCTGAACACCTTCCCCTTGAAGCCCAGCAGTGTAATTCTCAGTCTTGCAGAAAGCAAGCCCCTTTTCTATGCTGTTGTTCATAGACTGACTCTGAAAAGAAGCTTTTGGCACTGGGTGAGGCCTATTCCAATGGCTTATACAGGAGTACAGAAGTAGGAGACATTCCCCGAAGTCATATGAATGACTCCTCAAAGTTCCTCCTCAAAGGCTCTATCTTTAAAAAATAAGATCATTCATTCCAAAATTATTTATTAAGCAACTACTGTGCTTTACTTGTAGCAGATACAGTGTTGAGAGCGAAAACAGTCTTTGTTTATGATGCTTACGGCTGAAAGACAGGCATTAATCAAGTAACTACACAAATCAATGTAAAATTGTAGTGTAATGTAAGCTCAAAGTACACAGAGGAATCTATGATTTTCTGTAGTTTCAGTAAACTGATAGTTGAGATAAGATTTGCAAAATAAGTAAAAGTTATCTAGGAAAAGAGGATAAGAAAAAAACCACAACGGCATATAGGCACATGCCAAGACCTAAGGCAGGTGAGAACACAGTTTATTTGAATAACTCAAGAAGTGGTGGGTAACTAATAGGGGTGGGGGGATGGGAATGTCAGGAGTATAGTTGATCCACAAATTGTTAATCTGTCCCCAGAAAACTCAAAGCTCACTATAGCTGACTTCAAGTTCCTATTCACATCTTAATGGCAGTAAAATTTTTGATTTTTTGTATTTTTACAATCTCTAAGCTTTGCTAGAATTACTTCATTATTCAATTATTTGTTCACATACATTTCTCCCAGGAAAAAAATCGTATTTCCAGAACATATTACAGGCATAAACAATAAATAGATTTATAAGCCAAATCATCTTTGAAATAAATGATAAGAGAAATCCAGTGAGAATCAAATGAAATAGAAAAGGATCTTATTAACTTTTTCCCTGTATTTTCCTAGGTGATGAGGCCAATAGAATTTTTGATGTAATTTAAAAACAATTCTGCACTAAAAGAAAAACACTACCTGGTGTGATTACCTATGCCAAGTGAAAATAAATAAGCAGATCGTTACTAATTCCAGGTAGGCTGAACGTTAACTGTGATATCTATCATATGCTAAAAATCAAGGTTTAAAAAAACTTTGGAATTAGGGAAACCTCGTGAAGATTGCAAATGTAGCATGAACTTTCAATATACCAATTATCAGCAAAACTAATTCCCTAGTAAGCACTCTCGATGTAAATGCTGCTGCTGGACCGCCAAAAGGATAATTTTCCAGTGTAAGAAAAAAAAAATACATCTTGACAGCTATTTGGAAGGCAAGGTTGAATAGGCGGTCCTCCTCCTTGTTATCACTTTACACAGCTGTTATTGCAGTTTCCAATATTAATCATTCATCTCTTCACTGGGTTGCCTTCCAAACCCTGACACTGCATGTAAA